AGGGTAATATACAGGTGGTAGTCTCCTACAAAGGAGAACGATGTGGGAAAAACAACCACAGGGAACTAAAAGAAAATGAATGTTTTTTGTTTGTTTCACGGCTCACTTCTTTTCAATTTTGATAGGGAAAGTGTTTTGTCCGGTCCGGCAACAAGTGGGGTTGAACTCTCCGGGGACAAAATTCGCCGATAATATCGCCTTGCTGGGTGACAGGAAGTCTAACTTTTTTTGAATTCCTTGGTGATCCAACTGTCCAAGTATGGTATGTGTTTTACGTCCTCTAAATGCAGCGCTTGTACACGACTGACAGGAGCTTGTGAATTCACTCCGTGGTGATTAGCCGGAGATTGTCGAGAGCTTGTGATGTTGCGAGAGAGATCGCATCGCGAGTAGCGAAAGTCAGATTATCTTTTGCAAACCTACGACACTTATGGTGTCTCCATGAAGTATAACTCCCCCTTGAAGGAAGAATGTACATTACCTCGGTTCGTAGTGTTTTACTTTACGGCTGCTAGACCTGATCCTTTTCTGCATTTGACCATCGATGCCTTCAAAACAATGTTCTTGTCTGGTGGGAACATTGGGTGAATAATGTCGAGGTACGTCTAGCATGACGAAACTGCAGCTCTTGGTGTTCTCCGGCAGACGTGACCAAGTCGAGCGCTTTTTAAACACACCAAATGGGATCGGTGAATACATGCGTTAATATCCGCATGTTGATCTAGTGGCTTAGTCTTGTGTATGTATTCAGCGAGGTAATGAACGATTTCCGATTACAGTTGTGGTTCAGTAATGACCTCTCAGCTCAATCATGTATCTTTTTCGGAATGTCTTCTTCGATTCGAATGTGTCAACTGCATCATTTTCGTCCTAATTTCAACTATTAGTTGGAAGGGGTTTTCAATCACTTTGATGAGATTATCCAAGCTTAACAGAATATCCGCACCATTTTTGCCTCCCTTTGTTTACTAGGTGGAGTATGTGCACATGCTAAACGCTACCATGTGCGCCACCACACGAGTGATCTGTGCCATTTTGGAGAACTATCAAACGGAGAAGGGCATTGTTGTCCCCGAAGCCATTCGACACTTGATGCCCACCGGTAGGTCTATCTCGATTGTACAGTTTTCAACCATGACCCGTGTCGGTACGCATAGCTGACCAAGTTCGATTTGAATGCATTTTTGTCTGTTTTTAATTGGAGCTTAAGTAAAAGGTTAAGAAAAAAGACGGACATTTTCTTGTCTGAGTTTACACCCCTTTTGCGCCCGAATTCACCACGGAGAGTGCTGCTTATCAGGCTTGTCCTTTTTCTCTCCTTGTTTATTCAACTTTGTAATGATCTTGATTCTTGAAACAGTCCTATCCTCAGGTGAGTATAGTGGCATCAATTTGCTCCAAGTCAAGTCAATTCAAGGAATGGCTTTACACACCTCAAAAGGTTAATATTCAGCAACTACGTAATCACAGTGTGTCAACAAAAAGTAAAAAAAACACATTGTAATACAACAATTAAAAGAAGTGAAAACGGACAGCAATATCAGAAATCAATGGCATACCGAGGTGTTTATGGTTGATTTAGTTTGGCATTTTGCGCAGATTTTCTACAACGAGTTCATGGTTGGTTAGAAATCTGGCGAGCTCTTTGCACGTCTGTAAGCTTCAGTGCGTGAGGAAGGCACTGACTAAGGGCGGAATAAAGATAACAGGAAATATCAGAAAAAATCTTGTTGGAGAATGTTTTACAGGACTTGAGGTGATGTGTCACCACATACTGTACCAGATGTTCTCGTGGTATGAGACTACAAAACGACAGAAACTTGAGGGATCGGCAAATGAGTTTGAGGTCCTTGTTAAAAAGACCAGGGACGATAATAGGAGACCCATAAAGCCAGTCGAGCAAAACGCAAGCAAAAACAAAACTCCTTATGAGATGGCTTGGGATGAAAAGTGATTTAAGACGTAAAACACAAAACGTGAGCCTCCTGACCTTCAGAAAAACGTCATTAACGTGGTCAGACCAGGTGAGGTTACGGTTGAAAATAACGCCAAGGTATTTGACAGACGGTAGTCGTTCCATCTGGTCACTGAAGATAAATAAAGGTAGGCTGACATTTGATAACTCGTCATACTTTTGCCGTTTCAAAAAGGGAAATAATTACGTCATTACATTTTTGGGAGTTCATGCGGAGGTTCCTTTGTTGGGACCACTCAACTATTTCTGACTCGTCTTATAGAGTGGTTCGAAATGATGAGTTGGGCTAGTGCAGTCCGAATATTATATCGTCTGCATACTTGACGAGGAGGGAAGAATTGCTCACGGACATAGAGGAAGTGTAAGCAGAAAATAGAAAAGGAGATAAAATAGCACCTTGTAGTACGTTTTTTGAGGAGGGCAGCAGTGAAGATGTACGTCCTTCGTGGCGTGTGAACTGCTGACGGTTGGAGAAATAGTTGACCAAG